TTGGTAAAAATTTTACTTAGTCCCTGGGATTTAAACCTGCCATTGCCAATAAACAGTGGCTGCCATTTGGAGATTTACGTAAAAGTAATTTCACTATCAGCACTAATGTAAAAGGTAAATCGATATATTTGCCTAAATATTAGTACCTTATATTTTCACTCAGATTTTCTGCCATGCTGGCAATATGTTTTCAGTTAATCAAGACAGTGCCTTATTTAAAATTTTTACTGTTTCTTTCACCTAATAATTTCTTCAGTGGTTGTCCAACAGTTTTCTGTCTTGCATTCTGCATTAGAAATTTTTTGCTCTTGTGTTATATTAGTTTTCTAGAATATGTTTGCTATTCAATAGAAAATGTTTTAAGCAATTTCTCATGTTCCTAATGTATAACACTGAGGACTAATGCTGTGTGGTATATTTGGAATGTTAAAATGATGAAAGAAGTAGAATAATAACAATTCACATTTGTATCACATTTTAAGACCTAGAAAAAAGCTTGTTATAAGATTGTTGGTTATAGGAGAATCTACTTGGTAGGTTATACAAATATTATTATCTTCATTTTACTGATGAGGAAATTTATACTCACAGAGGTTGTGACTTGCCAGCAGTCACAGAGTCCGTAAATGTTTCACCTCAAACATAACCCCAGGCTTCTTGGAGACTCTGAGTTCTGGGATCTTTTCCTGACATCGTTCCACCTTTCTTAGTCATGACTTGATTGTGTTGTTGTTTCAGTTGCTTCACTCATGTCTGGCTCCTCGTGACCCCATTTGGGATTTTCTTGGCAGAGACACTAGAGTGCTTTGCCATTTCCTTCTCCAGCTCATTTTACAGATGGGGAAAATAAGGCAAACAGGGTTAACTGACTTGCTCAGGGTAAAACAGCTAATAACTGTCTGAGGCCAGATTTGAACTCAGGAGCATGAGTCTTCCTGACTCCAGGCCTAGAGCTCTATCCTTTCTGATTTGAGTTGAGCTAGAGAGTGGCTGTTGGTCCCTTCCAATTCTAAAATCCTTGATTCTGTGGTTCTGTGAAGTATGCGACCACGAAAGCATCATTCAACTTTTGATGCTTATTTCTTATTTTGATTACTCTGTTTATTGCCATTTTTTCTCATTTATCTAGCTATTGCTTAGATTGTATACTTATGTGTACAGCTTCTTTACCTTATTTAAATTAGAATAATGTTTTATTTTTGATGATTCAATTGGTGTTAGAAAAGACAATAGAAGCGGCCTCTCCCCCATAATACTATTGTCTTCCTCTATTGATTTTCTCATTTCTTTTCTATATGTCTTGTTTCTACATAGTTCTTTGCATGTTTGTATATAATTTCCCTTATTAGACCATGACCTCCAAGAGAGTAGAATTTTTTTTTTTTTGCATTTCTCTATGTTCTTGGTGCTGAGTACAGTGGCTGGTGCATAGTAGAAATTTAATATATGCTTCTCAACTTGACTTATTTGAAGATATTATAAACTCCATTGGTAAGCTGAGGAGTGGATGGAGCAGTGTTCCGTTTGACTTCATGTGAGAAGAAACCGCTAAGATTTCCCCAATTCCCATACACTAACAAACCTCCTTATAAGCCTCTTTGACAAATTTTATTGGTGAAGAAAACTAGATGGACTTGCTGTACCAATACTTAATAATGATCCTTTCTTTCAAGACAAAGTTTACAAATAAGGAAATATCCATTTGGTCTTGTAGGCCTTTCACTCTCTCTCTCTTCATGTTTGGTAATTTCATGTTCAGTGTTCCCGAGTTCTGCTTACTTAAGCACTCTAGGCCAGATGTGGTATGTAGAGCCTAAGAAATCTAAAAGCATTCAGCGACTTCACTCTCTTCACTCCTACACCCACCCCCCAACTCCTGCAATCTTATACTATCTAACCCAAGTCTTATCTGTTGTATAGCTGAGAAAGAGAGGGGCTGGGTTTCATTGTTATAATTTCAGGTTTGAAAGCAGAGTTGATGTTTTTGTTGATGTCTTCATTTTAGAGCCAATCTTATTTCTTTTTGCCTAGGCATATTCTTCCATGAATCTCTTATTCCTGTTAATTATTATGACTCTTCACTTAGCAGAACTACTTACCTGAACAGAGCCAAAGCTTCCTAAGGGGCAGGAGCTGATGGTTACTTACAGATTATAATCTGAGAGTCACTAGGATGGGCCAGTTTATCAACAAGTATTTATTAAGCACTTTATTCTGGGCCTTTGATAACCCTTGGGGATTAAAAAAAAAGGTCAAAAAACAACTCCTGCCTTCAAGGAACATCCATTCTAATGGGAAGACATCATGTAAAGAAAAATAGGGGTGTGTGTGTGTGTGTGTGTGTGTGTGTGTGTGTGTGTGTGTGTGCATGCCAGAAGGTAACCTTCCAGCAGAAGGCTATAGCAGGCGGAGGGCACAGGGTGAAGATTAGTCAAGGTGACCTGTAGAAGGTGCCATTGGAGTGGAATCTTGAATGAAGCCAGTTATTCTAAGAGACAAAGATGAGGAGGGAGAATATTCCAGACATGGAGACCATGGAGATGGGAGATAGAATGTCTTGGATGAGGATCAGCAAGTAGGTCAGTATAGCTAGATCAAGGAATGCACAGAAGGGAGTCAAGTCTAAAAGTTTGGAAAGGTAGGAAGGTGCCCGGGTTGTGAAGAGCTTTAAAATGACATAGGACTTGGTATTTTATCCTACAGCCATAGGGAGCCATGGAAGTTTATTGAGTGTTTATAGGCCGGGGTGGGGGGATGCTATGGGAGCGGGGGGGGGGGGGGGAGGAAGGATAGTGACTTGGTCAGAACAATACTTCAGGAAAATCACTCTGACAGTTGTGTACCAGAAGTGGGAAGAGATGAGGCAAAGGGCCTAATTAGAAGGCTAGTACAATATTTCACTCCATAGGTAATAAATACCTGAACCAAGTGATGCCAGTATAAGTGAGGAGAAAGGGACATCTGGGTGTGACAGACACTGTGAAGGTTGAAGTGATAGATGTGCCTGATAAAATCTTTTTATTGCCAATTCATTCATTTGGGTTTATAAGCAACTCTCTCAAATATGTTTAAATAAAACATAAATATCATTAGAAGGTGGGTAACAAGATTGTTTGCACCTTCATATCAGGTTAATCAGCCTCTTGGAATCCTTGCCTACCTTCAAAGCTCAGCAAAAGTTTCCTCCTACAAGACACCCTTCCCTAGCTGCTAGTACCTCTCCTCCAAATTACCACATTTATGTACATATACCATTATACATATACTACTATTATATACATGTTATATATATACTATTATATATATATATATATATACACACACATACACATAAAGCCATGTTGGAAGGGGAGTCAAAGGTTATATAGACCCTTGTTTTATAGATAATCCCTTCATCTTAAAGGTAAGGAGACAACTCCATAAATATTGAACGATAAGCCTAAAGTAAAGCAGGCAGTTGAATATGGAGGTTTTCTGACCCCACGTTACCATCCCGCCTCTTGTTCCTCCCAATAGACTATCACAGCCTTGAAGGCTGGGAGCTTTCACTTTTGTCTTTGTGTCCCCCATGCCCAGCACAGATGCTAGCACATAGCAAGTACTTAATACGTGTTTACTGATTAGTGGATAATGATTGAGATATTTACCTGAAAGAAAGTTTTGCTAAGGTGAAGAGCAGGAGGTAGGGATGATTTTGGAGAATGTGATAGTATCTAGAGGCATCACACCTACAGGGAAGCTCAAGGAAGGATCTGGGCATCTCTTTTCAAAATGGCAGAAAGAGAGCCTTGGGAAGTGATAGAGGATGGCAATAAGGAAGGTCCAAGAGCACTTTGGAAAGATTTTGCCTACTACTCAATTTTGCCAAAGGAAAAATAAAATAGAAATATGTTATGAATTTGGATCCTTAGGCCTTGCAATTTTTCATTGGTCCTCTTTGATTCAGCATCTTAAAGTATCTGTGTGTTTTTAAACTTTTATAATTCAGATTATAGATATGATATGCAAAAATTATAAAAGCATTAAAATGAAAACTTGTTAAAGCTTAGCACAACTACATTATACTATTGCACTCATATTTTTAATATACTGTACTGTGACAAGATAATGGCTAATGTGGGAATAAAGATAATTGAGTTCTCTAGCTGGCAAAGTTGATTTGCATATTAACTGTTAGGAGGAAAAAACCCGTTAAATTTGCTTTTAACTGTCATTTAAAGATTATTTCTTTCATATTTATAACCCAAGTAATTAATATTTAAAAAATTCAACTATAAAGTGACTTTTTGTAGGTGCTTTTGATATTTGCTTACATACCCATCTAAAAGCCAAGGGAAAATATGGATATGATCATAGGAAGTAACAAAGAAAAAAAGAAGAAAGTTTAGTCAGTGATGTAAAATGTTGTCCTTATTAAGCCTATCAAAGCTTATAATTGGTAGCAAACCAATGGATTGTAGTTTCATTTTGATTCAGCCTGTGGTGGAGGTGCTGATGGGCAACAAAGCAGGCAGGAAATAATTGAAGGAACAGAAGTTTGGACAAGGATAATAAGGACCTGGATAGTTAAAAGACTCTCTATCAAATCTTTAATAAAAATACATTTTAACTGCACTAGTAAACAACAGAAATAACAGTAGCCTACCAGGGCTTCTTCAACTTTTTCCACTTGTGACCCCTTCAGCACTTCTTAAACTGTGGGTCACAACTCCCCACTCTACACCATAATGGATAACTTTTTATCTGCTCCAGTCCATCATGTTTAGTTATCTTTTATTCTCAACACAAACTGTTGATTATATTCATTGTGGTCATCTGGACTTTTAAAAGAGAAATTATCTTGATAACTTCATAGAATTTTGAGAAGAGCATACTGATTTTAAAGCATTTGTTTGTATCTCATTATACTGTATGTTTATATGATATTTTAAAAAATTGAATGCATTATGTTGCCATTTAATGTTAAGCTAAACCTGTCTGTTGATTCTCACTTTTTGTAGGTTATTCGGAAGGGATGGCTAACAATCAACAACATTGGCATCATGAAGGGAGGATCCAAGGAATATTGGTTTGTCCTTACTGCAGAAAGTTTGTCCTGGTATAAAGATGATGAGGTAAGGAAAATGGTTTCAGTTTGTCTCTTAATAATAACTTGTACTCAATTCTCATCATTGCTGTGAGCACATTCTAGAAACCATTGGTTCTCTTGCAGGCAAATTTATGCTTTAGTTTGCATTTTGTGGGAGAAAAATGTTCCTTTCACAACTTTTCATCATTGAAATATGTCTTGAATTTCTCTTGCTGTTAGCTTACGTTGAGGCAGTATATTTTTTGTTTGTTTACTTACATGTAGTGAGCAAGTAATAGTTGGGAAATCTGGGAAATTAATATTCATTAAAACTACTATCAGCTAAAAAGATGACAGATCAGAATGAGAAAGCATAAGATGGCTTCAGAATAAAATAGCAACTGCCACAGAGATTTTTGAAAAATATTTTGATGCTAGTGCTTAGGCATATGCCTTATATATGGTAGGTTTTTTAAAAGCCTATGCCCAAATAGGCTTCAAGGGTTTTTTTTGACAATACTAGGTAGATAATTTTGTAGAAATGATTTTGGAAATCTAATGCCATTTCCAATAAGGTGATGGTGATAATTTGGCATTTCTGGTACATAAGCCTGACATGGAGACATGATGAAAGTGAGAACTGGGCTCTTCAGTTAGGCATATATTTTTTTGCAGCTCTTTCTGTCCAAGGCAGAGAAGCTAATAATAAATTCTTGATTTGAATTAATAATAACTGAATCTTTTGAAAGGAAGAGGAGGGACGAGGGGAGCTGTAACTCTGGACCTGATTCTAAGGAACACACAGAGGAATTTATTTTTGGAATAGTCATTATGTAGATGTTGGGGGAGGGGGAGTTATTAATTCAACTTATAATTTGTGACTGAGGATGGAAAATCTGAGCATTGCATGAAACCTTAGATTATGGGGAAGCAGATTTCAAAGGGTTGAGAGAAAGTTTAGTTAGAATTTCATAGTCTAAAATTCTGCCAAGGAAACCTGCCAATTAGGGGACAAGTAACACCCAAAACTGATATTCTGCAGGTTCAGTATAGGAGAAAAGGGTGAGCTGTTGACAGGGTCAGGTATAGATACAGAGGTAACTCATCAAACTGAGATTTTTTTAAAGACATGTATAGGAGATGGAAACAAGGGGAGGTAATAGAAGAGAAATACTTAAGTGTAGCACCATCCTGTGGGAATAGTGTCAAGAGAAGTAAAACTTAGGATGAACATAGACTGTCAATAAATACTAAGAACAATAAAAGCTTAGTGTGTTTTTTCTCTATATTGGGGAAAAAAAGGGATGAACAACAAAAGGGTGCTTAAGGTAGATGGGATGATGATAATGCGTGACAAAGCAAAAAACCAAAATATCTCAACTCTTATTTTGTATCTATTTTCTCTGCCAAGGAGAAAAATCTTGGGACTAGAAAGAATAGAACAAAAATTTGTAGTAGGTAGTTGAAATCTGAGATATGTAAAGGAGATGATAAAAGCATGTTGATGTCTTTGGTGAATACAAACTATAATTTATCCAGTCAAACTATATTTCGTGGTAATAAAAGACTTGAGCAATGATATGAGTCAGTGACTTGTGAAGGATTGTGGCAAATAGGAGAGGTATCCTAGGGCCAAAGAAAAGCAAATATCACCCTATTTCTTAAAGGAATAAAAAGGAAGAAATTAGTTTGCACATTAGAGGACAATGAGTTTGGCTTAAATTCTGGACACAATTCTAGCATATATTTTAAAAAGTGTTATATTTATTCTGAATTTGCCCAAAACAAAAAAGAAAAAAGAATGAACATTTCTATATACAAAGTAGAATAGCAAAAGAGGATTATGTATAAAACTGTGTTTTTAAAGTATATAATAAATTAAAAATATTATTTTTACAGCTGTCCTGCTTGTTTCCACCCAAACTTCACTTAGTTCTTTTCTTTGCATTAAAAACATGCTGAAATGACCCTCTTTCCTTTCTTTTTTTTTTGATCCTATCTGTAGCTCTTCTCTATTCCCTGAATTTCATTCCCTCCTCAAATACTTGAAGAAAAACACAATCCTTATAATAAATAAGCATAGTCAAGCAAAACAAATCCATACATTTAGCATGTCCAAAAATACATCTCTTTCTGTACCTTGAATTCTTCATCTCTTTCACCAGTCCTCTGCAGTTGTGGTTGGTCATCAAATTGATGAGAGTTCTTATCTTTCAAAGTTGTTTTTCTTCAAAATTTTGCTGTTACTGTATGAATTGTTCTTCTGGTTTTATTCACTTCACTCTGAATGAGTTCATGGAAATATTTCCACATTTCTTTGAAACCATTCCTTTGGTTGTTTCTTATGACATAATAATATTCCATTATAGTCACATATTATAATTTGTTCAATGATTACACGATTGACAGAACCTCCTTTGTTTCCATTTCTTTACTACAACCGCACCTATGAATATTAGTATGGATTCTTTCCTTCTTTGTTTGATATCTTGGGGGCATCGTCATGAGAATAGTATCACTGGGCCAAAAGGTATTCAATAATCTAATTCCAAATTGCTATCTGGAGTGCCAGAACAATTCACAGATCCGCCAAGAAGTCTCCAGGGTCTGATGCACATCATTAAAGGGACAGTTTGTGAATGGTCTTAAAGGGAAGCAGTAATGACCAAGAGCCAGAATATATTAATCAAGAACAGGTCATGCCAAAACAACCTCATTTCTTTCTTTTTTATGGAGTTGCTAGACTAGTAAATACAGGGAAATCTGTGAACCTAGTTTACCAAGACTTCAGTAAACTGTTTGAAAAAGTCACTCATGCTATCCTTGTGTTCAAGAAAAAGGGAAAGTCAGTAAGTATTTGTGAAGGACCTACTATGTGCCAGGCACTGTCCTAAGTGCTGGGAATAGATATATAGACTGAATCAAATATTATTAGATTAATTCAGAACAAGTTGAATGATCAAAAGAAAAGCATTAATGGCTAAGTCATCTTGGAGAGAGGTATTCTGTGGAATGCTTGTGGGATCTGCCCCTGTTGTTGTGCTTAACATTTTCAGCAAAGATTTGGATGAAGGTACAAATAACATGCTTATGAAATGTGCCAAAAATCTAAACTTGGAAGGCATAGCTCAAATAATTGAATAATAGAATAAGTATGAAGAAGATCCCAACAGCCTAGAATATTGGACACAATCTAAGAGTGACCTTAATAGAAATAAATGTAATGTCTCATGTAGGTTAAAAACTTAACTTTGCAAATACAAAATAGGAGAGGCATGGTGCTTAGATAGTGAACTATGTGAGAAAGATTTGATGGATATCGGTGGACCGAAAGCTGAATAGAAGTCAAGTGTGGTATGTCTGCCAAAAAAGCTAATGAAATCTCTGGCTTCATTAACTTTTTTACTTGCTATAGGCGTGATTGTCCTCATTTTTTTAAGTTTTTAAATTTATTTTAAACTTGGTGCTAAATTTATTTTAAACTTAAATACAATATAAGAAAAGAAAAAAAATCACCACATACACAGCAGAACATGAGAGGATACAATTGAATGCAATAAATTTCCATTTCAAGAAAACTTACATAATAACCACCACACATTGTTTTCAAAGCTGTCCAGCTTTTCTTTGCTTCCTTGTAAGGTTTCTTTTGTTCTCTGCTGTGAACTTTTTATTTTATTTTATTTTTCTCCCTCAAGAAGGCTACCATTAAGCATGGATTTTATATATACACACATATGTACATACACACATACATATACGGTTATCTATAAACATACACATATATACTCATATACATATATGTAAGACAGTACTTTCCACTTGTTATCTGTTTCTCTGAAGGTGAATAACATCTTCCTTCATATGTCCAAGCCTTTCCATGTTTTTCTAAATCCACCAGCTAATCATTTCCTATACCACAGCAATATTCCAACCCAATCACATTCTGTCTGAGAGAATGTCTATGAAAGTTTCCCCCCACTTTTCTGCATTTCTTCTATTCTTGGCTGCATAGGTTTTATTTATACAAGAAAATTTTAATTTAAAATAATCAAAATCATCTATTTTATACTTCAACAATGTTCTTATAATATGGTTTAAGGTCTGATACCACTAAATCTGGTTCCTTTACATCTTTTTCCCCTGGTTTCCTTGAAGTTCCTGACTCTCTGCTCTTCCAAATGAACTCTGTTATTATTTTTTCTAACTCAGTAAGGTAATTTTTTTAGTAATTTAACTGAGATAGCAGTAATCTCTGACTTCATTATGCAAAGCATAGTGGCTAGGAATTGGGAGGTGATAGGACCAGCGTACTGTCTCCTAGTCAGAACACATCTGAGGCGTGATATTTGCTTGGGGGTGTCATACTCTACATGGCACATTGATAAGCTAGAGAGCAGATATAGGAAAAGTACTAGGCCTCCAGAACATGATGTACATGGAAAAGAGGAGACTCAGTGATAGGTGTCTTCCAGCATTTGAAGGGCTACAGTGTGGATGAATAGTTAAAATTGTTCTCATGCACCAGAATGAGGACCAATGGATGAAAGTTGTAGAGAGATAGATTTAGGCTTGAGTGGAAGGAACAACTTGATCAGCTATTCAAAGGGGACATGGGCAGCCTCATGAGCTTGCTCCTAATTTCTCTCACTTCAGATATTTGAGTGAAGACTTGATAATATCTTGCTAGGGGGGCTGCTCAGGGTGCCCCTTGTTCAGGAAGCAGTTGGACTGAATGGCCTTTTCAGGTTTTTCAAACAGATATTTTGTGATTTCTTTGGGAATGTGTTAGCAGATAGGATAAGAAATGTTTCCGCCACAAATCCCAATTCTCTTTGCTCTCAGCATTGGCCTGTATAGAGAAGTTTGCATGCTAAATTTCTAAAATGTATATTGTTTCAGCAGTTTTGAAGAAAACACATTTTTCCAGACTGACTAGGTTTCATAGTTTTGCACTGGCTTCACCCCTTTTGCTCAGTCGTTCTTTCCTTCTACTCCTCATTGTTAGTTTCTTCTATGAGTCCCCACTTAGCAAGGAAAATGTAA